ACGATAGAGCTAATTATATTAAGATCTAATTATAATATTCTTATAAAAAGATATACTTATTACTCTTATTATAACTCTTTCTTAATTCGACGATAATATTATCTATGCTTCTTTCTCTTTATTAGTAATTTAAAATTACTTATTCTCTTTCTTAGAACTAAAATTACTATCTTCTTTAATCGATAATAAATCTCTCTAGAATAATTTAATATATCTTCCGATTCGATCTTAAGAGCGTATAGAAGTAAGGAGACTATTAGAGAACCGATTACTCAATCGATTATTTTTAACTCGACGTTTCTTTTCACTTATATTAATATAGAGTTCTCTATATACTATCTTAAATTACGACTATAATAAAAAGAAATACGCACCTAGTAAATATTAGAATTTAATTCGTATTTCTACGTAACTTTTATAAAAGAGCTACGCTAAGGATTATATATTTAATTCTAATATCGACTTAATAATATAAGATTTAGTATATATATCTATTTATTTTCTTCTTATCGCTATAATAGTTTCTTCTTCTTTTAGATTAATAGCTATATATCTTAAGTTAATATTATATATTATATTACGATTCTCTTTACCGCGTCTTATCTTCGTTTTATTTTATATTATAATAAAGAAGATAATAGTCGTTATTAATAATTTAGAATATTCAGTTAGAGCTAAAAATTAAATAAGTACTCATACTTCTTTAAAAGTCTCGTAATAAAAGATATTCTAGTCTAAGAAGATAAGAATAAAGAGAAGAGTAAAAGAATTAAAATAAAAGCTATAACGCGTTTATTAATATATTCGTATTTAATCTTATTATAATTAATTTAGCCGCGCTAAATCTAATTTAATCTAGTCGTTTCTACTATATTATAATTTATACTCTTCTATCTTATCTTCTTAGTATAGTCTCTATAATATAGTTTATCTCTCTTTAGATTACTCTATACACTATAGTTAAAACTTAAAATATCGCTAGTCTTAACTACGTATATCTTATAATATAGTCTTTTACACTCTCTCGTTCGATACTAAGATCTTCTCCGTACTAGTAGAATTATAGCTAAGTATATCGCGGCTAAAGATAAATATAAAATTCGCGTTTAGAATATTTATAAATTATACGAATTATAGATTCTCTAAAGAACTTATATAATTATAGCTTCGAGTTAAAGAGAATTTCTTAAGACGATATATTCTCGCTTTCTCTTTCTCTTATCGTTTTATAACGATAATTTATATATCGAAATAGTCGATATTCTACTATATCGCTATCGTTAATATTATAGATTTAGCTCGTTCTTTAGATAATTTCTATTTAGCTAGTTATACTAATATTAATTCACCGAATAATTCGTTTAAGTTTAAACTAAAACTATTCGTCGTAGTCTTATTTACTAACTTTATTAAGCTTCGTTTAGTTACGAAATATACGTATATAACTACGCCGTATATTTATCTTCTCTTATCTTACTATAGTTATCTTCGATAATTACGACTTAGCTATAGCGTTAAGTAGCGTAAATCGCTTTATACCGTCTCTAGATTTATCTTTCTAAGAATATTTCGATACTACCGTTTACGTAGTATTCTATCGATGATCTTATTTACGACGTATTAAGTAACTACTTCTTAAATACGTTTATCTAGTATATTAAACTCTTATAATACTTTTTAAAATATATTATATATTATCTTATATTTCTTATTCGAAGTATCTTAACGCGATTTAATATCTATAATACTTTTTACTCGTCTCTTAGATTTCGAATTTATCTACGAAGATTAGAGATATACGATAAGCGAAGTAGTTAAATAATTTAGTTTCGGTGCCGTTATTCTTACTAAATAGAAGAAGAAAGAGAGAGAGAATTAAAGAATTTTCTTTTCGATTATAAATATTAAAGAAGTTATAATATACTACGGAAGAACGCTTAATAATCTTAAATATAATAGTTAAGCTAAAGATTTATTTATACGCGGAAGCTCTATAGAAAAGTAAGATTATTATTACTTAGAAAGAATAGACTTTCTTTTTTAGTTTATTCTACTTATTTTTAACTATATCTATTTATATTTATAACTTTAACTTAAATATCGTTAAGACTGTGGAATATCGCCCTCTAAAGGTTTATATTAAACCTTTAGTCACGTGATTAAATACGAAGTTTAAGTTCGTATTTAGACCTAGGGTCTATGAAA